GTTTGCACTTAGTGTGTTAACAATATACAGGTGTCATCCAAAATAAAACAAATTCATAAATTACCACCAAATCTGATCTGTTTTTGGACTTGGCAGACAAAGACAGCACACCGTGCACTTGCAGTGAAAAGGCTGAAGAGTGCAAATCGATTACAATTATTGAACCTCGTTACGTAAATCTTTCATTAGAAAACACTGCATGTTCCAAATTTGAAAGGAATAATCCTTAATTTCTATGGAATTAACAAGTAAATAAATCACACATGAACAGTGCGTATTCACAGGGTATCGGCAGGTGGTGTTTGTTTGGGTTTGTAAGGGTTGCACATTGCAGGCTGGTTCCTTAATAAAGGAAAGGTCATTGATCAAGGTTAGTGTGCGTCCCTCCTTCTATGCGTGTGTGTGTGGATAAGCAGTGTTATCGCAAAGCATTAGGGGTGCAACAGCCCTTCTAAACACTTACCGACACTTGCCCCCTGCCGCCTCCCTTCTCCCCCAATACATCCACACACACGATGCCATGCGCACACTCGACCATTCTCGTGCAGTGAGACACACACACACACACACACACACACACACACACTCTCATGCTCAGACAGATAAAAAACCTGGGCAAGGTGCCGTATCAAAGGATATTGCGGTATAATAAAAAAAGTGTCTAAAAAAACCCAAATATCCCCCATCGGATTAAAAACACATTTTATTAAGCAGATGGTGAAAGAGGATTTCCACTCTAGTAAATATGACGAGGCTTTCAAATGTGACATGGGACGGAGGCAGAGCGGGGCGAGCGAGAGGGGAAACAAGGAGCGAGTGGGACAGAGAGCGCAACGCTGCCAAAAGAGAGGGGAGAGAGAGGTGGGGCTTGGTTTGAGAGTGGGGGGGGGGGGTGATAAAAAAGGAGAAAAAGGAAATGTAGGAAAGGAGAGGTGACATAAGCAAGTAGAGTCAAAGCTGCATTCTTTAAGCAGATCAGATTTGGGGAAATTGGGCTGTCACTACAGGATTGTGATGATTTACACCTATCCATCACAGGGAGGGAGAGAAGCAGCGCTACAGTATGTACAATAATGCACAGCCTGAACAGGCTGAGTGCTTACTTTTTATATTCAGAATTCAATATTCTGTACATACCTAACATTATGTGAATTAGTGATACGTATAAACGTATAAACAGCCTGGCAGTGATCCGGCCACTTCACTACTTTTACTGTATGGTGACATCACGTGACAGGTGCTGCAGGGTCAAAAGAAGAAAGTGTATGTTTATGGACTATACGTCTTATAACAGAAATCCCAAAAAGGCCAAAATATTACACAAATCGCTCGAACAATAATTTGAATTTGAACGCTGTTGGACGTTTTGAATATAATTTATCTGTAATGTCAGCAGCTTCTGTCGTCACTCTTCACCCTTGCCTCCTCTCTTGATGTTGTCTCTCTCCTCCTGACCATCCTCCCCCCTCTCCGTACCCTCACTGCTGGCTGCTGCACCTTTCAGCTTCGCTCCTGGACCATCTGTTAGGGAATCTAATTCACATCCCGTCATAATCAGGTTTGCTGGAGTGCCCACTGTCTCTGCCTCCCTGTCTGTCTCTTTTTCTGACCCTTCCTTTTTTATTGTGCTGTCTATTTTACATTCTGTCTTTGATTTTTTTCTATCACTCTTAGATTTTTGCATTTCTCCACACTGTGCTTCTCACCCTGTACTAATTAAATGTGGTGCATTTTATCAACATCCATCTATATTTTCCTATCTTTATTAACACAAAACTTAGACAATAGACTTGTGATGGTGATAAAACAAATGAGTCAATCTAATCCATCTAATCAAAGATAGATCAATCTAATCACTGGGTACATTTTTAGGTTTGGAATAATTTGGTTGTACTTCAGCTTAATTCCTTGACACAAAGTGACTATTTGTTGTGTTTCAGGCATTGGCTCTGCTTTCATGTGTCCTTAAATTAATATCACAATTGCAAGTTACAATAACTTGATTAGTCCTCAAACATTTGAATATCAAAAATCACTTATAAGCATTAATTTGACATTAAATTAAAATGAGCTGTTGCATTGACATCTTGCCTGTTAATGTACCGGTGTGTGTGTGTGTGTGTGTTTATCCATGACTGGAGAAGAAGGCGAGTTGAGTTGAAGGGGGTGGAAGTTAATGAGAGGTGAGCGTCTGAAACCGTCTCTTTCTCTCTCGCCCTCTCTCCCTCTCTCTCTCTCTCTCTCTGCACCAGCAGTAATCCTCTTCTATAAATCTGCAATCCAATCAGCGTTGTCCACACTTACACACATGCACACACGCGCACACATACACACAGAGAGCTGTTGGGAGGCCCATCTGTGTGTTAAGGCAATCTGCTTTATTATTATGATTACATTGGGCTCAGTTTACAGCAATGTGTGAGCGTGTGTGCTTGCGTTTTCGTGTGTGTGTGTGTGTATTCAGGCGCACCATGGCTGCCTGATATTAATCACATTCCCATGGTTTGATGGCCTAAATAAAAAGAGGAATAATATTGTTTCTGTGCAATGAAAAAAAAATAAAACATTGGGAATTTCTTCATAATTCAAAAAGGCTTAGTTTCAGCAAAAGCTTAAGAAAACTAAGCATATTAAATCAAAACCCTTAGAGTTTTTGAATAATTGATTGAATCCTTTGAATGCATTTTGAAAAATGTATATCAAGTCTGTTGTACCTGAGTTTAAATTGGAGTTTATTGTGTTTATGTCAACAGTGTGACTAAATCCAATTAACACCGTTGGAGGTCAGAGGTCCTGCGTATGTGTACTTATACTGAATGTTTGTGTGTGTCTACAAATGCTCTCTGTGAGTATGAGCTGTATGGATGCATGCATGCACGTGTTAGGTGACTTGTATCTACAGTACCTTCAACTATTTCTGTGGCTAATTATTTATTGATTTTATGCCCCTTTTTCCTCTTAAGACTTGGCCCACTTTATTGATTATTTATTGTTGCCATGTCACAACAGGAAAAGCACAGGTGTAAAGAACCAAAATAAAAATGGCTGAGTTCCATTCAGTTGCTTGTAAGTATGCAACGAATGGAAAATGACATGTGAGTGCACGACTTGAAATAATACAAACACCTTTCCTGATCATATCATCATACGTGTATTCCTGTATTTCACTTAGTTATTAACTTCAGCCTTATTAAAATAAAATAAATATTAAATTAACTGCTGTTATGTCCCATCTGAGGCTCCGCATAGTTTTGTCGGTTGAAATTACAATTACGTTTTCAACTGAAGCTCATTTTCACACTTTAACCCAAAAATTTAAATTAATGCAGCACAAATAATGTGACCACATGAAGTTTAGCATGAATTTAGCATGAATAGTGTATATTTCTGTGCAATAATGGCGTGTGGGACTTGAAGCCATAGCGTGACTCCCTGTCTAACCTTTACACCGCTCATCCCATTGACTGCACTATTTGCCAACACACACACACACACACACACACACACACACACACACACACACACACACACACACATAGTACAGGTAATGGGAGTGTAACACTCTTCATGGTGATTGGCTGAGGGTCTGTGTGAGAATGACGTGCCAGATCTCTAATTGGCTTGACCCCGGCTAACCCTGAAATCCTATTGGACCAAGATTTCCCGGTCTACAAAAAGACACACACACTGAAATGTACTGGCCGGTACAACACCGAGAGATCAACTGTCTTAACATAAACATTTTTGAAGTTTTTGTGAACATTTCTGGACCCTTTTTGGAGAGGAATAATGTCATGGATTGAACGGATAGAATAGAAACACCAGCGCGATACGCCTGCACAATTCTCCAGAGAACTTACATGGATTAAAGGATAAAGAGGAAGTGAGTGGGAGGATAAATATCAAGAGGGGGAAAGTCTGTAGGTGTAACGCGTCACACATTTGCTGTGTTTAAACATAAAACAAGTGCCATATTTACAGTTTACGTTCTAAAAATGGACGAAGGCAGTTCTCATTTTCACCTGCCTCAATCCACCCAAACGTGCCATCGGTCTCGCCATAGAATTCACTTTAGTTTAAACTTACCATGCTTGACTGCAAATGCAGATGGCATAGGGGATTAATGTTATGGTAATAGTGACTGTCCTTCAACCGAACTATATGCCTTTGTGCTGCAACACATTTGCACTACTGAAGTGTCCTTGAGCCAGATGTCAATTCACCCTTTCTTTGATGGCCCATTTATACTGTAAAAATATAACAATATAACAAATATATAGCAGTATTATTAATTCATTTCAAAAAATTGCTAGTAGAAAAGTAGTTACACAAAAGAATATTAATAAGAAGCAGAAAATAAAGTTCTTCTTTTTGCTGATTTTTAACTCTTTAGAGCACATTTAACACGTACACTCTTACATTCTAGACTGGGCCTCACCGTGGACAATGGCTGTTCCATGCCTGTTGCCACTAATAGTTAGAACTATTAGGGTTTGTAATGATTTGGGAATCTTCGCAGTCACTATGAACTCACGGTGGGGATTTTCTTTAAACTAAAAAAAAAAAGAAAATCAAATTCCAGCTGCTGGTTCTGCTTTTTTTCATGGCTATCTTTTTAAAGAGCTTAATCTGCTTAACGCAAAAAGTAATTTGGACTATTGCACTCGGTAACACAACAGAAGAGCAGCTGACTGTGGGTCTAATATGTGGAGAATGGGAAATGTACTTTAATCAGTTAAAACATATAGGATTCATCACAGGAATAAGGGAAATAAGAAATACATGACTTAGATTGTAGAGACAATTTCTCAGTGCCATGTGTGTGTCTCTCTCTCTCTCAGACACATACAGAACACTTGCTTTTGATGTCTCAAGTACTTTCTTTTCCTTGCGTTTATAGAGGTCAAATGTGGCTTTTGTGTAAAACCGAATCAATGACACTCCTAGATTCTTATTCTTTTAAAATGTTTGCTCTTTGGCATCATTTTTGTGTGTCTTACCTGGGGTTGTAGAGGGCATGTGCGTCTCTCATGTGGTTGGCCTCTAGTGGATCGTAGCTCTGGTGCATCCTCCAGGCGCCAGCGCCGCATTTATTATAGGTCGACTTGGAGTTATCGTCACTACTGCTGTTCACCAATGGCCCCTTCGATAAGTTCATTCTGCAGGCCGGGGACAAATGAGAGAAATGGGGGGTGAAAATCGTGCAAAGTTCTATCAAATTCTCAAACTATTTACCAAGAAAAGTATGAATAAGAGAAAAGGTTAAATGAAAACATTGAGAAAAAAATCCAAATCAACTGTTGTTGTAAGTTAAAATCTTGTAATAAAAATGGAATAATACATAGAAAAAAGCAGAAGGGTGAGAAAATAAAAGCAAAAATGTATTAATAAAATAAATGTGAGAAACAAATGAAGCTAATGCACACACAACACGCACAATTGGGATCACATTTTTCCTCCTCCGTATGGCCGCAGTACACAAAAGAACGCAGCAACAGAATAAAAAGTTTTAGTCGGGAAAACGGACCTGCGCCGTGCCCAGGGAGGAGTGGACAACGCAGACGTATTTATGTGTACAGTCAGGTTCGAAGACACAGAGACAGACCGGCAAGTGTCATCCGGCCCGACGGACAGACAGAGGACGGTACTGACTTAAAACCAATACAGGAGAATTTTTTCCCAGAATGTGTTGACAAATTTCTGTCAAAAACATGCATAGATGTGGTGGATGTGTCAGGCTAGTAAGTGAAGCACACCCCGGCTGTGTTTAACGTAAGAGGAGTTTTACCAGTTTTAGTCTGGTACAAAAAGGCTTTCAGACTTAGGAAATAAAAAAGTAAAAGCACTGAAGCAGGAACTGCTATCTGTCAATCAAACCCGGCGCTGTTGTCAGGGGAGGAGCTGTAGCCGGGGTGAAAAAGGGGAGAAATAAGTAAATATTTTGCTTTGGGATCTACAAATCGTAAGGAATTAACGAAGGGGACTGAGTGATCTTTTCGTGTCGAACAAGTCAAATCAAAATCCTGAGAGTGACGCAAAGAGCTTTGTAATAACCTTGTTTCTCCTCAGGTACTGCTGTTTTGATTTAGCCGCACCTTTTCCTGTCGCCACCCGTCCTGCTCAGACGTGGTGTATCTATAAACAGAGCAGGATGTTGCTATGTGTCACAAACACGTGTTTAACACACAAGCACCCACCACACAGACATGCATGTGTGTGTGTACGTATAGCTGTGTGTGCGTGACGCTGTCCCACTGTGTCGGACAGAGAGACAGACCAATCACTCGTCTGGCAGCCACCCTCCCTCCATCCACAGAGGTGGAGGGCCAGTGTGTGTAATATGTAGGTTTTAGTTCCACTCTCGTGAAAAGAAAGAATCAATAACTTGCTGCTGCTGCTTTAGACACCTATTGGCTTCGGTTGCAGTGTCACAATGCCATATAGACAGGCAACACGTAATACTGCTTTTTTTATTAGGGGAGTGTACTAACGTACACCCACTAACCATGAATAGATGATGTTGTTAGTTTACGTATTCCCGTTGCGTACCGGCTGTTAACTGTTGGAAGAGAGGGGGACCGATTCAACGGATGGAATAGGGTTAAATTACTTATTTAGCTTTATTTTCTCAGTACCATGAACCACGAGATGCACTTAGGAGAGACAATCTGAGAACAGTTTTTGAGCAGAATCAATATTTCAATATTTAAGCTAGTCTACGAAAGGCTTTTTGATTTAGCAGAATCCACCTTGAGCCACTTGCATTAACTGCTGGGGATTACTATATATATATATATATATATATATATATATATATATATATATATTTATTCTGTTTTAATACACCTTATGGCAAGGTAATCGGATATTTTCTCTATCTTTCTTCATTCCAGAAGATTACATTTATTCTACAAAGCGCTTTGAAATCAGTTGACAATTGTTTAAATCAGGAGTCATCAGCCGTTCTTTTCAATAAAGATGCACACAAGAGAAAAACTACACTTGGAAGTGTAGCGCTTATTCTGACTAAAAAGGAAACTAATATTAAATGTAATCCTTTCCTGATTGTATTTATTGCAATGATTGGAAAAGTACTTAAACATCAACACAACGAATAGCTCAGGTCATAACTTACATATGCAAAGTAAAAGGAGAGAATAAAGGAGAAGAGCATTAACTCAGGTGATTCTACCTGACCTGTTTCACGCTCCTGTCACTACATGTAAGCCGCAACAGCACACACATACACGCGCAAAAAGACGCAGGCCCACAGACACACACGTACACGTGCTCTCATTATGAGTGTGAGGTTTGCGCGCGTGTGCGTGTGTGTGCGTGTGTAAAAGTAAGGAGATTGCGGGTGTCTTTCTGATGCTCGGTGACTCACTCATGTGTTGCTGGCCCATCTGTGAACAGAATGACCATGACACAATAAGTGTGTGTGTGTGTGTATCTGTGTGTATCTGTGTGTGTGTGACATGGTGATGCAGTGATTGATGAGACAGTTGCCATTCTTGCTAATGCAAAACGCACCTATCCCTGAAGGGAGCAAATGCCACAACACACATACACACCCACACACACGCATCCACACAGGGCTGAAACTGCCCTTCCTAATTACCCCTGTGGTCAGGCCAGTGGGATGTGTTCCAGTCACATATCCGATAAAGATCCCCGTATGCCTGGTTTCATAAGCACAAACAAAAAACTCCAAGACGTCAAATGAAATTTCCAGGATTCGCCGTGCTCCTCGGTAGTGAAATGTGGGGAGAGCGTGTAGATTATACTGTTCCTGACATATGGCTATATAATTGTTGACTATGTAAATTTAGTGCATGTGTGATATAATAATGACGTATTTGCTAAACATCAAGTCGAATACTTGTAGTCTAACAACGGCATGCATTTTGTGTAGGCGTCTTTAAATTCATCGTTACATAATAATAAAATACTGAGTGCATGAACACATTTCCATGTGTGTGATTATGTTTCTCTCTGCAAATGGCACGCGCATCAGGGCAGGTGGGGTTTGACGCCGCAGCCCTTTGTGTGTCTGCGCGGATGTGTGTGTGTGCACGTTAGCGTTAGCGACGGGAGCTGTTAGCGGGGCAGGCGGCAGATGGGCTGTCGGCCTTAATAGGGACTGAGCGGGTGCAGGAAGGTGACAGCTTCACGAGGGAGGGGTGTGTGCGTATGTGGGGAGGGAAGGAGGGAGGGTGAGGGGGAGTTGAAGGAAGAAGGGGATAAAGGGGAAATGAATTGGCTGCGGAGGTCAAGAAAAGTGCGTATCAGCTGCAAAGAGGAACGCACATCTACTGAGGACAAGAAGGGCCGCGACATATATGAAAAAGTATAACTTAGTATAAAGTGTTTCATCTCGTCATGGATGTATGGTCTTTTGTTGGTTCATTAAGTGTGCAACTCAATCTAAAGCCGGATGTATATTTTTGCAAATCTAATTTGATCAACATATGCAAATGAGACGACAGTTTCTGTAGTGTCACAATACTGAATATTTTCTTTGATAGTCACACAGACGTAGTTTTAAACATTTGCCAAACAATGTGCGTGAACGTGCGACTGACATGAATTGCTCGGGAGATTCGGACGCATAGAAAGAGGAGCACCGTCTGTGAATCTGCAAAGGGAGTTACATCCTCGACAGGATTTTTAGAGTTATTTCACTTTCCTTAAAAAACACCCCAAATACGTCCCATCTGTTTTACACAAACAGGCAAATACTATTTACCAAATGATTTATAATAAGTGACTGCTTGATTCCTTTTCCGCCTCATAAAAATAGAATCTCCTGAGAGTTACAAAAAAAGCGTTGTCTACTGTGTGATGGTCACATCGAGGTTTATACGTTATCCGCATCCTCAAGTCTGTATATTACACCAAGTCTTCAAAGGCAGAGGGAGGCCGACTAGAAAAAAGCTAAGGAGAAAGGTGTAGTGGTGGGCTGGCCTGTCATTCTCTCCCCATCAGGCACACACATGAAGCATGATGGGAGGACGGGGGGAAGAATATTTCACTGTCAGTCGGATGGCGACATGGTCATTTATTTCTCTCTCTCTCTCCTTCTTAGTCTCTGTATCTTTCCCCATTTTGTGTTTTCGAACCCCTTTACATGCTGTCGAACCATTGACAATTTAATCATACCAAACAAGGCCCGGGCATGTCGAGGGAGGGGGGGCGGGGGGGGGGGACTATCCAACCAGCCAATCTATAGGGCTCTCCCCACGGACACGGAGGAAGAGAGAGGAACAGCAAAACAAAAAGTACAAAAAGCAGACGAGGCGTCGGAACCTGCATCATTCTCTGGATCCTCTTTAACACACGCGCACGCGTACATGCACACGTAGATGCACCTCTCCATCTAAATCTGTTCTATTGTGGCCCGGTCTCCACTGTCTCCTCCCATTAGAGGTGAGCGGCAGCATTAGAGGCCCTGAGCGCGACACTATGGGCCCTCACACACATGCGCATGCACACATTCACACTCAAACACACACACACACACACACACACATGCACACACTCAGAAATACAGCGGTCTCCTGTTTGGAAAGGCAGCTCAATAATGAACTGCTGGAAATACAATTCTGTAATGCATTAACTAAAAATGCATAAGGCCACAGCAGTGACAATAATCATGCTAAATACGACATAAGTTATGAAAGGTCAATATTTCCTCAATCTATCAAAATCTTACAAAAGAAAGAAAATACTTTTGATACTGAAAGCTTTGTTTCTAAACAACGGCAGAGTCCCATGTTTCTTCTGGTACTCTGGAAGCTGCACTGCTACATTTACATCCTGAAAGTACGCAACAGTGAGAGAAGGAATTCTCAGTCGCGGCATGAATTATTTGAGACATTGTTATGAGGGAAATAATAACTGACAGCACATTTTGATCTATTGATGACGAAACACAAGGAATGCGCAGATGAGCGGCGTGGAGAGAGGGAGGGGGGCAAAGATAGGAGATGAGGAGAGATGAGCAGCGTTGCCTCTCACTATATATCACTCTTTTCTCTTCTTTCAATCAGCGCTCTGGCATTCAATCACAACACACACACACACACACGTTTAGCTTCACCGTCAGTGTGGGGTAATGACTAATTGCAGTGAGGTGTGTGTGTGTGTTGTTGTGCGTGTCACAGCTGGTACGGGCTCTCTTACTGCCGACAATGACCCATGCACACAACACACACACACACACACACACACAGAATTGAGGATGAATCAGAGAAAATGTATCAAGACTAAACAAAAGTGCGCGTGAGAATGTGTCTCCATATCTTTAGAAGTGTATGAATGTTTAATTCTAATTCAAATTTTCTGGCACAATGTGGTTACTTTTAGGTGTAAATGTGTGTGAGGGTGTATGTTTGCGTGCATGTGTCTGTGCAAGCGTGCGTGCGTTCATGCGTACGCGTGTCCAGCAGACCCTTAAGTGCTGGTGTCAGACAAAAGCAGCCCCCCCTCCTCCTTCCAACCTCTTGCTCAGTCTCTCTCTCTCTCTCTCTCATTGCATCTCTCTCTCTCTCTTTATCTTTACGGGACTGAATTACCACTGGAATGCCCGGACCCTTCACTGCCGTATGCAGGAGTGTGCGCGCGTGTGACAGACAAGGAATGCCGTAGGGACGGATGGACAGGAAAAAACTGACACACAAAAATAAGAACAACCCCTCCTCATACGGGCTACCAATAGGTCACACACACACACACACACACACACACACACACACACACACACACACAATGTGGACAGGCAGGCACAAACCCTTGCATGACTTCAAACAGATGCAAACGCACAGACACACACACTCATACACACAGCCAACAAATCAGTGTGGCACATATTGACATGCTTTGACAGATGAATTAAGTAAATGATTTTATAAGGAGATTAAAAGGATTTTAATTTACGCAATCTCTCTTTGGTCCCCCCCCTTTCCCTCCCACCATTGAGCTACACTCGCTCTGCCTGTCTGCTGCTTTCTCTCCCCCATGGTCAGAGGAAAAAAAAGAGTTCACCCACAAAGAGAAAAACGCAGAGGACAATATGTAAATCATAATAATTTATTTTGTGGAGGAATAAACAATCGTTTCTTTGCATTTTCATTAATAATGTTGATTTTGGTCTTTTGAATCCAACTGATTTAAACGGCAGCAAATGCTCTTGATAATTTCCTCTTTTAGGTGAATACCCTTTGACAGACAGCCCTATTTTGAACTAACAGACCGGAGGAAGAACAGTCGGCCTTCAGGTTTTCTGCAGTTAAGTTATGATATTATGTCACCATGAATATCAGTAAAGACAAAACATTATGAAATCTTTGAGGTCACGGCGTTGCTCCAAAGATCCACCAACACAATTTAGTATGTCTGTTGTACTGCTTTTATCGCTGTCTTATCACACACTCTAGTACTTGCATGGTAGAAATTGTGCGCTATCGCCTACAACAGATGAATCATTAAATTAGTTTAATAGAAAATAAATACTACGTTAACGAAAATATTGTGTTCCAATTTGTCTGAAAATGCACTGTGTCATATGTCCTTGATAAAAAATTCCTCACATTTTTCATCAAGAACATACTTTGAACAACACAGTGCATTTTTCAAAACATGCAACAAACTGTTTGAGCAGAGCATTTTAATTTTCACCCACAATTGGAAACAATTTATTTGCATAAGATTTCCTTACAATCAAATCATATGATCAAAAAATTGATTGAAAATAACCAACTGAAATAATTTATGCTGCCATCTCTCACACAGCAAACCTTTAACTGACTGATCAGCGCGGACGTTGTGCTATTCTCGCCACCCGTCTTCTTTACACCCACTGACAGAAAAACACCAAAATCCCTGAAGTCACTGCAGGAAATATATCCTAATGATATGCAAATGGTATGTATGTGGTGGCATGAGGGGAATGCAATTATGTTAACAGCTTAAGCGGTACTTGTTGTTATTATTATTATCATCGGTATGATCATTATCCCTAATATTTTAATTAGTGCAGGAAAGCAGTGCCTGAGAGCAAAAGAGGGGAAGCCTCAGCAGAGAAAAGAGGAAGGTGGATTGACGGATGGACGGATGAAGGAGCGGACCAGAGGATTTGTTTAAAATGCGACACCGTTCCCAGTGTGCAGAAACGCACACGGGGAAAGCAACAAATTCCACTGCTCACAGGACATCAAAGTGTGTTTTCCTATTGACATATCTGTGCTTAATTTTCAAACGGAGCTCTCAATCCAAACCCTTAATCAAAACCGAGCTAATAGTCTTCCTCTCTTTTCATTTTACAATAAAAAAACCCGAGGTGACTGTTTTTTTAACCTGAAGCTGTCAGTTGAAGGACCGGCACTATTGGCTCTGTTCAGATACAGTGAGCCGAGTCCTTACAGAAGAAAATGTTCTGAATCCACACTTTGCTCATCCAGTCAAATGATTTACAAAATGAAATCAGCGTGTTCAATGTGAAAGGCTTTTGTCGACAAGGTGAGACATTAAAAATCTAATCTATGACATTGCATTGCTGTTTAAAAAAGTGATGACTAAAATCCCTTTGGCTGTATCTTTATTATTAGTAATGCTTCAATAAAATGAATCGCTCTTGTTGTAGTTTCAAATATCTATCTAATCAGAAGAAGAAAAAATGATAAAAGACAAGTTCAATGGTATAGAAGTGTCCTTTCAAGCTGCTCTTTTTACTTAACATTCTACCTCTTTATCCCACATAATGTGTAGAGAATGTGTCTTCATGTAAAACACACACATAGATAAAAGGTGAGACAACTTAAAATTACACTATAAGAAACTAGTTTTCTTTACGTTTAGGAAACACATCAGAAAAATCCACCTGCATCGTCTTCTGACTCAACTTCGTCCTTTCAGTTTCCACCTCCGACTTTCCACCGGAGGAAACTTAGACGATGTGATTCAGTTTTCCTAATTTGAATCTATCCCCTATGAAGCCACGACCTCTTAGGACCAAATGATTTATACATACATCTGTATTTTCGTATAGTACTTTGTAACCCTGGTACTAATGAATGGCCATTCATACGCAAAGAGCGCGCAGCCTGAAACACACAACGAGCCCGACCGCGCGTACAATGCGTGTATAACGATTTATTCACCTCACTTTATTTGCTGACATTGTTTGTCCTCTTTGTGAATTTTCATTAAAACGCACCTCGCAAGGAACGTACTCGCAAAAGAACGCACGCACACACGCACACACACAAAGCTGTCAACAAATTAATCTGCACATTTTAACATCGTTTTCAACACTCACCTAAAAGAGCAACGCGTTTCTCTAAAGGAGCAGCGCAGCGGCACTGGCCTGCGTGCGTGCGTGCGTGCGTGCGACTGTCTCTAATTCCTGTGCGGGGCCACACGCTGAGCTGCCCGTCGGAAATTCTACCTCCTCTGGCATTTCAGAGCGCGGCTCTCCCCCCTTTCACCCTCTCTCACCCCCTCTCCCCCTCGACTCTCTGCGCGTCTTTTCCCCCGTAACCTCGATGCCCCGCTACGTCCCTGATTCTCCGCTTGGACGCACACGCACGTAAGAAAGCCACGTGCACGGCGTAGCCTACACACACACACACACACACACACACACACACACACACACAGACAAGTAGACGATTGTGACCGCGCAGCTGTTTTGTCCCGCGAACAACTTGTCTCAAAGTGAAACAACGTCTCAAACGCAGAGAAAGTGAGGGACACGCGGCCTCTGCGTTATTAACGCGCGCGCGTGTCCGTGCGCGTACGAGCAAGTGCGTTTGTGTCCCGTTCTCAAGTGGAGGGACGGAAATTACACTCCTCCACCCACGGAGGAAAAGCTGCTGTCCGGATACTGCAAACACGCACACACAACAACTTGCGCGCGCGCACGCACGCACACACACACGCACACAGAGACAGTGGACGCGTGCTACCTGACAGCAGAAACAACCTTGACATGGTGCCACCGGCCACCTCTGCTGCATACCAGCACACACGCGCACACACACACACACAAACACACGCACACACACACTCCATGACAGACGGTGACAGCGACACGATGAATGACGAATAGAAAAGGACAAGATAAAAAGGTAAAATTTACCTACTCTTGCTCAGAGTGCATTAAAAAACACTCGGATAACGGGTGTCCTACCGACTCCATCGGCGATACCGGGTCATTGTCAAGTCAACCTCGTCCAGGAAAAGAAAGCAGCAGAAGAAAATTCAAAAAAATCAAAGTTTTTATATCTCTCCTCCTCTTCTTTCTCCGGTCTTCCTCTCTCCCTCTCTCTCTCCCTTTCTCTCCCTCCCTCCCTCTCTCTCTCCCTCTCGGTCCTTCCTTCCGCTTGGAGGGAGCAATACAATTACCAGGCTCTGCGCTGCTGCACTGACCGGCTCTGCGTGTGTGTGAGCGTGTGTGTGAGTCTGTGTGTGTGAGTGTGTGTGTGACAGGCAGGGAGCGGGGGGCTATAGGTGCACACACAGCCGGACAGCCACGCAGTTGGGACGGAAAGCTCTGCCTGTGTCCTAATCAACGACTTAAAGCCCCGATAGCAGCTCATGAATATTAAGCGGCGTTTTGCATGTGCGGTCCCTCAGGCCCGCGCCCCGCTGCTATTGGCCGATACCTGACCAATGGTTTTGGGGACGGGCGGAGTAAGGGGTGGAGTCAGCGAGCGAGAGGGGGAGAGATGGGGAGAAGAGCAGGTGGAGAGGGAGGGATCAGACAAAGAGCGATAGAGGGAAGGGAGGAAGGGAAGGAGGGATCGGAGAGGAGAAAGAGGCAGGTGAGAGAAGATGCAAAGCACGACGTCCCGCTTTCCTTCCCTCTCTATCGTTTTATGAACCTTTAGGTTTCTGTCTTTCTCAACAATCATTTCATAAAAGTTTGCTTTGACTCGTCTCTATTTCCTGCAATGCTGAAACGTGTGGGGGGGGGGCGTCCTTGGAAAATATAAATCTTCCAAGCAAAGGCTAAACATTTAAGCAGCACCATGTTGCGAGGCATTTTTGCCCCGGAAGAAATCCCAGATGTGTGCAAAACGAAATTCTCCTAATCAAGATAGATACAATTGCTCAAAGATCAAAAGGAAAATGTGTAGGCTTTAACCCTAAACCCCAAGAGCCTAAATAACGTTTCACACCGCAAACATACAGAGCCCATCACAGCTCAGCGGTAAAACACGGGATTATGGCAATTCCGAGGCCCTTGTCCTTTGTTGTGGAATGATTTGGGAATGATTGGGGACAAGATTTTCCCTGCTGCTTGCTGTTTTGTTGAGCTCCCTGCCGCCTCCAAAACCAGCAGGTAGTATATTCCCATGTATTTCCAATATGTCTTGTAGTAAAACGACTTGGAATGAGGGTATTTTCAGAGCGAGAGGGATTCTCCAGGAAAACGGTCTCACTCATCCTCAGAGATGTGAGAAAAGAGGGGAGGGTCTTTTCTCTGTAAAAGGGGCAAGTGGGAAACCTACAGGGCAAACACAGATCTGCATATTGCTTTCTTTTTATTAAAAGTGTTCCATCCGACTTTTGCAACTCTCCGACGCCACCGAACACGGGATGGAAGGGAGGGGGGGGAGAAGTGGAAGAGAGAGGGAGACAGAGAGAAAGAAATCAGAGGGGTGCAAAGGAGGGATGTGAAGATGAAAGAAAGTGGTTGTGATTAGCAGCTTTGGAAGAGGAGAGATAATAAAACATTTCCTGAAACCAATCTCCGCTTTGATGTACGTGTGTGTGTGTGTGCGTGTGTGTGCGTGCAACAGTCAACCTCTTTTTCTCTCCCTCTTCCTCGCTCTTTTTTTTCTAACCGATATTCGCAAACAAGTCAAATGTATCATCTCTGTTTTGTTGGTCGACAGTAGAACATCCGTATCACTTTTTTATAACACGCAAAAACACAAAATGAGGCTGTTAATATTGTTGTATTGTATAATATTATTTTACGGCCTTTTTAGGAATAAAGACATCTCGTGGTTTAGCAGTTTATAAACAGGCATTAAATTGGGAAATTCATTCATTCAACATAGGCAACAAAGAAAGGGGCCTTTATGACATTTATATAAAGAGGTATGTGTATTCAAACACACATTTATATAAATATATATATATATATATACATATACATACATACACACAGACGCTATAACTTTCATGTCCACAAGCAGACACACACACACAGAGTTATGATGTATCCAGTGGCTTATAAGCATCGACAAAGATGAGTGTGAATCAATGCTGCCGTCACTATCAGGCAAACAAATCCTTTACCAAACCCTCGCTAACTCACACATAAATACAAATGGATACAAATACAGGCATCTGCAATCCCTTTATCTGTGAGGAAAGATTACAATACATAGATTTCATGCTTTACATAATATGTATTGAAAAAGAGGAAATCTGCTAATGGGAAATTAAAAGGTACAGTAGGGATGCACATATAATTTCATACATTTCACAGGTTCACAAAAAAAGCAAATTATTTTGAAAGTGTTGTGAGTTGCATGAAGATAAATTAAACAGTGTTTGAGATGAACCCATCGGCTCATAGACACGTATGTCTTTCTTTCAGTTTTCTTTAGAAAGATAATCATGACACTTTTCATACCACTGGTCCACATTATGTAATTCATGCATGTACTTTAAGCGATTTGTGTTCAAATATTAGATTTATGATGGCGTCACACATACTGTAGGCATATACAAATCCGATTTTATTTATAAAATCGCCTTCTCTATTCTGTCAATAGGAGAAATGATTCTAGTGACACGTGTAAGTCCTATACCACGCACACATAACCCTAAACGCAGCTGTGCGCAAACTCATGTTCCTCATGTGTCCCTGAAGCTGGTCCATCTGAAACCTATTGATACGGTTACAAAACCTCAGTGATCTAAGTTGAACCCTGAAACAACCTGCTCTCTTTATGCCTCGCTCCTCTTTTCCCTCCCTGACCCCCGCCCCCCCCCCCGACTATTGATTGGCTCTCAGTGTGTATGTTGACAGTGACCCCTTAAGGCCACTTCTCTCTCTCGCTGGACTAACCCGGCTGCCACGCAAACCTCTTAAACACAAAGCTATTACAGTAAAAGCTGAGGAAATACCCTGTGTGTTCACGGGTGTGTGTACTTGTGAGTGTCGGCTCCCTGGCAATCACATCCCCATGATGTCTAGAAGACTGGACAGAAAACATGCTGCGTGATAAAAAATAGCCCGGGACGCGCACAGCGTGGACTAGAATTACAGGTCATTATTGCCTGTGCTATTGTACTGTGTGCGGATCTCTTTCTTTTGTCCCTCGTCTGCAGTCTTGTGTGTGTCTGAGTGTGTATGTGGGTGTGTTGACCCTTTGCTGGCAGCCTGTTGACATCTGTGGAAGAAATATCCATTGCAACTCTCACTGACATCAATCACACCACTCGATAGGCCACAGCAAGTTCATTCAGGGCACTGTGTGTAATATGTGTGTGTGTGTGTGTGCGTGCTGGTCAACAGTCTTTAACAAATTCGAGAGGCGGTCACTTAAGCAGCTGACCACAGACTGCATATCGACACATATGTGTGTATCACCAGACTGAAGCTACAGCAGCAGACCAGGCTCTAATCACCAAAAAAGGGACTTTTCTGTATGTGATAATCAAATTGCACATTTTTCTTTTCCTATTGTATTTGTATGCTAACTATTTCTTATGGAAATACTACAACTAACTAACAGCTGGAATAAAACTTGAGAGGAGCAATTTGTACGCTTTACAAAACGCACAATACTAAACATTTTGTAAAGGTGAAAAGTGATGCCAATGCAGGAGCCAGAGAGAGAGAGAAAGGGGGGGGGGGGGGGCAGGGGTGTGTGGGGGAGAAGGGAGAAAAATTGCAGCTCACCACTAGCCAACAGAAGGGAGCTATTGGGCTCTTGTCAGTTTAAAGCCAACTGCAACACACTCACTCACTAGTTGTGTAATTGCATTGGAGCGTGCAAAAGCACACAAAATTAAACGATTTTGAAAAAGAGAATCATACCAATGATACATATATAATATATATATATACATATATGACAACCAATTGTATCAAGGAACAAGAAATCTCTCACACACAGTTATACTTCCAGCAGGGACGAGAGAGAAGTTATCTGATAGCTGTGTCAGCAGGTACAGCAGAGCCCAGTGAGGAAACAGCCAATTTGACCACAGCCCCCCCGCCCCGGCCCTCCAACCAGAACCCAGAGGCAGGAGTGAGAGACGGAGACCTAGAAAGACATCTCCGTCCCCAAACTGTCCAATTGGTGTGATAGCAGTGAGAGGTTTCGCAGTCACAAGGTGTTATTAGGTAAACACTACACTTTCCCTACAGTTGATTTTAGGATGTGTGAGTGAGAGAGAATGTTTGTCCAGGTTTCCAAATGTGTTGCTTTGCAACATTGACTTTGTTTTAAAGTTCTCTAGGGGTTGAAACCTTATTTGTCCATTTAGAACAATGCAGGACATTATTATTTTAGCAATGAATGAAAACACCATATCAATAAATGAAATAATGAGATTTCACAACCACTACAACTGAAAGAAATGTGTTCACGGTATTGATTGATGTGTTAGTTTTGACTGTTTTTACCTATGTTGTGGCATTAGCCATGCTAATATTATCAACAGTTAAATAACTTTGGATCCTCCAATACCAAGATCATATATCATTCTGATACTGACTAATTGGTATTGGGGCAAAGGGGCTGATGTTTATGTATCATACTGTAAATACTGAATTCTGTTTACTTTTAAAACATCTATAACTAAATAGTAATTCCCGCTATCTTGATTATTTTCCTGGGTTGCTTGTGCAGAATTTATTGTCGTAAAAATACATAACCAGACAGTAAATGGAAATATGCATTTAATTTAGAAAATTGAGGAAATGAATATTTAAGTGAAGCCTGGAATTTTCAGTCTTTCAGAATAAAAGCGTGACACACTGAGAGGCTTTTTTTGCTTCCTACAACATATGCATTGCTGGTAGATAAAAAAAATGCACATTGGGTTCAGTCAAATCCTTAACATGTCATATTCTTACACAGATTACTTTTTTTCGCATATGCAAAAAAATCTATTAAGATCCATTCGATTGCTATTCAAATCTGTTTGTGTGTGTGTGTGTTGTGACATGTGTTGGGCAAAACTTTGACTCTTGTGAGTCCACCCAGGCAGAGCTGGGGAGGGAAGGGGCGGTGACGGCCAAGGAGAGAACACCAGCTGTTGGGAAAAGCTGGAGGGTTTAGGGGGCTTTCTGGAGCCTGTCACCAAAACTCTGTCCGGGTAACCTTTGGAGGTCGGTACATGGGAGTCTCTCTCTCACACACACACACACTTAGTTTAATCATACATCAACGATTACATATTTTAATACGCCTGTGTATATTACATATTGCGTGGCAGTTTGTATATGGCAAATGCTAATTAAAAAACAAATATAGACAATATTTAACCACACAGATGACAAACCTGAAATACATATACACACACGTG